CAGAGCCAGAAAATGAAGGAGATGGGGAGGGGAATGTGTAGGTCACTTGGGGTATGTCTAGACAGCATGGCTATTTTGGGATACTGGAGGTGTCCCGAAAATAGCTACCCCACATCTTGGAAATGTGCCCGTTATTTCGAAATATTTTCAAAATAACGGGCATGCTATTCTGGCATCCCTGTAACCCTCGTTCCATGAGGGTTGAGAGATGTCTTGAAATCACACGTTACTTCAAAATGTGACAATTGTGAAGACGCGCCAAATTTCAAAATAAGCTGTTTTGAAATACAATTGGAAATAAGATATGCAATTTGCATAGCTCACATTGCATATCTTATTTCGAGTGTAGGGTGCTGTGTAGACGCACCCTTCCACTGGTGTCAATGTGGAGTAACTCTTTGGAGTTACACCGGTAGAAGAGAGGTGAATCAACTTGCCACTTCCACATACAGCATCTGATTCCACAAGCCCGGTTTCTTTCTGAACTTGTCCCAAAAATGGCCCAGCAGGCTGGATATTTTATGAAGGCATCACCCTCTTCCCAGATGTGCTAGCGGAGTGGGTGTATAGAAAACCAATCCAATCCCAGAAATTAGCAATGGAAAAGAGCTTTTGGGACATCTGGCCTGGCGTGTGCTATTGCATGATTGTTCTCTGCAGGGCATTTTTCTGGAGCCTCTCCATCCTGAACAATGCTTCCCTTGTCATCCAGAGTGAGGGTGGGTTTCCAGCTCGCACATGGCCTCTTTCTAGGACAGTGACAGTCTTTGTATTTTGCAGGTGTGATGTGGGCTTCTCTGGGGTCCGGTGCGTGCATTCGGAACTTCTCACGCAGCACCTGAGCAAAGAATATCTGGCACTGACCGTGATTCTAATCCTCTTTTTCCTCGTCGCGATCTTCATTACAACCTACTACCTATTCAAATGGTAAGGCGTGCTCATATTGCCCGATGTGATCTTACGGGGGACTTGGCTTCTCCAGCGAGGGAGAGACGCTTTGGTTTTAACCAATACGTCAGATGGGGAGACCACAAAGAAGGCAATGTTTATTATTTTTGCTTGACTGCATTACGTTTTTCAGATACCGCTGCACTCATTTACTTCACTGCATTTGGGACGGGGGGATTCAGTGTGTTTGCTTTGGTGACATGATCAACAATGAAACCTGGTCTTTGCTAGAATGTATGGTACATGGTTGGCATCATGTCCAGCCCTAAATCAAACAATGCACCAATAGGACCAGGGCATAGGTCTGTGCACTGAATAGAGAGAGAAACTAGAACAACCACCTTTTGGGGCCAATGACAGAATCCTTTAGAGACCCTTCTTCTAAATGAATGACGCAGTTGACGGAAAGAAAACTAAAGACCTGAAAGTGACATGCAGTGTATGCAATATAATACTTGTCGTCATTCTGTTTACTTCAGGGGTGTTTCTACAGGTTCTCACCCCGTCCATGAGATCACACGCTGGCCTAACTATATCACATGCCCCAAAATTATAGTAGTGTCTCATCCAATATGTGGGTATTGGAAGGCTTAACACAGCCTCCAAAGGTGGAGAGAAGGCGGCTTTTGCACTGTTCTGCTCTTGTGATCCTTGGCTAATGGTCTGTTCTTCTAATTCATGCCAGTTGCCAGGGAAAAAGGGAATTGTGGCTAGACCCCTTTCAGCCATGCCAATAATCCAGACACCAGGAATTGTGGGATCGCTCTTCTATATAGGGTCTATGGAACCAACACTAGGTAGCTCACAGATTTGGCCCAGTTATCTACCCCAAATTCCTCAGGTCCTGCCTCCTGACGACAAACATCCAAACCAGACAGGTTTCCAGTTTATATGCTTATGAATCTAAATAACTAAGCAAAAAAAAAAAAAAATCAACACCTCAGTCTTGTTACCAGGTGGCGCCAACATCACCATGAAACCATCTGTTGTTCAATAAGAACCATCTCGCTAGTACATTGGGAGCATGGCATGTTTGTTTAACGGACAGCATTGTCCAGCTCCATGCCAGCTGGTATTTTTATACACGTTCCAACAAAATGGCTGAGACAGGGAAGTTCACATCCCTCCCAGGCTGAAGACTACGGCTCTGGTGCCAGCTCAGGTAGCCTCCCCAAGCTCTGGGTGGCTAGATGGCTGCAAGTCTCATCCTCTGTCTGTAGTAAGGGTTGTATGGGAACATTCTGTATAACTCCACCTGGCGTTACAAGTGGGGGCTTGTTCTGGGATTTCAACTGGGATGTCTCTGAAGCTTGGGATGCCCTTCCTCAGCTAAGGGAAGCATGTAACTCACACACCTTTGGGGTGTGGTGCACTGTCCTATCTATGGGCACCAGGACCGCTTACAGAGAGCATCATGAGTCTGCTTTGCAGCCTTAGCTAAGTGCCAGCTGGTTTCTAGCTATGCAGTAGAGGCTCGTGCATTCCGCTCCAGAAAACCCAGGCTCAGTTCCACCCACCAACATTACAAGCACACGCTCTTGTTACAGCGATCTACTGGCATTCAAAAAATTGCAAGTGCAAGAACAGTAAGATGATAGGACAAGAAGCAAAAGGAGGTTTAGGTTGGACATGAGGGAAAAACTCCCTGTCAAGATGGTGAAGCGCTAGACTAAGTTTTCGAGGGAGGTTGTGGAATCTCCATCACTAGAGATATTTAAGAGCAAGTTAGACAGACACCTGTCAGGGATAGTCTAGAGGTGATGCTTGGTCCTGTTATGAAAGTAGGGGCCTGGATTGGATGACCTCTGGAGAGATCCCTTCTAGCTCTATGATTCTATGGAAGCATCCTTCTACTAACAAAAGCTGGAACAAGAAAACAAAAGCCCGGAAAGTCAATACATATGCAGGAAGGCTATTATCTCTGTGGTGGTTTAATTCAGGCCTGTGGTTTTCTTGGTTCAGTTGTTGAACATAAGCTTGAGCCAGCCAACGGAAGTCTGACACTGTATGGGATTTAAGAAAATGCTTATGTACTTTGTTGGATGGGGAAGTTTTGCTCAGCACCTTGTAGAAGAAGTGAAGTAATGGGAGAAGTGCAAGAACTTCTCCATAGCCTTTTCTTTCTGGCACAGTAATGCATTGCATTGCTTTTTTTCTCTGTAGGCAACATCTTAACCTCTCTGATCTTCTTATTTCCAGGTACCAAAACAAAAAGAAGAGGCAAGCCAACAACCACAAATACAAAGAGGCTGATGTCCATGAGAAGAACTCCGCGCTGCTTCCCTCGTGAAGGGGGAGAGAAACACACAGACTTGTCAGCTCACAGCTATTTAATATAAACCTATTTTATTAATAGTATTTATATGCTCTAAACAACACAATTTCAAATTTGCATTGATCAGACTCAATTTACAGGTCAAAATGGATTTTGGGGGGTATACTTTATTTTTAATTTTTTTATTGAATATTCAATACTGTGCAATGTGGCACTACAGAAATCCTCCCTCTGTACATATGCAGGATTATATATAGGTGTGTGTGTGTGTATATATATATATATATTTTTATAAGACATGTATGCTTCTTGTCAGCAATAGCTGGCCTACCAAAATATGTTGTTGTTTTTTAAGGGCAATAAAATTTTGTATTCATGTGAAGATAATGAATGCACTTAATGCTCCTTAGAATTAAGTCTTCTAAATTGGGTTGACTGTATGCTGTGTGTCTCCTGCTAGAACTTCAGGGAAGTTTTGGCTAATTAGATATGAACACATGGAAAATACATCTGACCCTGGGAAATGTTGCTCCTCTATTCAGACTGATGTTGATTGGTTTTGACATTGGGGTACATTGTCCTCTATTTGCATCAGGTTACGTTGCAGACCTGAGCAGGGGGAGGGGAACTGCATCAAAAACTGAGGTAAAATATTCTGCTTTCAGTGAAGGCTTTGTTACTGGTACAATGTTGACTCCCATTCCTCACCCATGTGGGAAAGTAAGATGTCAGATGTTCTTACTTCTCTAGGCAAGCTACCTGCTGTCCCTTAATTAGAGGAGGTTGGTTAATTAACCAGTCATTTTTATACACTCTGTATATTTTAGTCACGCATTCCGTGACTCAGGAATGATCTCTTACAACCACTTTTCAGTTTGCATTTTGGAACAGCTCTGTGATTGATCTGTTAGCCTCTCTGGCGGTACGTTTGAGGCTGTGTCCACGCAAAAGAGTTAGCAGGTTTGAGCTTGCAACTGAGCACCAGAAAGACGGGCCCCAATTACATAACGGTGTGGAGAGGTGGACACAACAG